ATCCTTACGCTATATTACATCGTTAATTATTTCAATAAACAAGGAGGATAATCAAATTTCTGATATAGAATTTTGCTTGGGATAAGATTTATGATATCAACATAACATGTATATCATTGAGAGTACATTCTCGACAGAGAAATTGAAGTTATTCGCATCTATGAATCGTATCTTGAACAAACGCTTCATTAGTCAAAATGCGCATGTTGCCAACGAAATTGCAGAGAAGTACAACTCCGCGCGTGTCTAGAGCGAAGTGATTTAGCGAATTTCTTCGCGAGAGCTGTAACGTCGTCTGTTCCTATCACGAAACACGATTGATTGCGATCGTGAATTCAATTAATATTGAAAGTTTAGAAAGACGAGAACGATAAAGAACGTCAAAAACAAACAATAAAATTGTATTGATAAATTATCAAATAATGTCAGATAATATCTGCAAATAAAAAAAATGTTATTAATCTGATTCGTGAAAATCACAAACGATGCAGTTATATAGAAATAATTTCTCTTCCACGTCACGATTCGCAACTATAGCGCTATGAGAGATAGGATTTTGAGCTGCGGATTTTGTTATATACCGACTACCTCGGGCGTATCTCCAGGTGTAAAGAATGAGGAAAGCATTTTCTCAACTTCGTACAAATGGCTGCGACTTAGAAGAAGAATAATAATACGCATCCCGCACACCTGTGAAGATGAAAGATCGCTTGCCAACATAATTCGAGGATAAACAGTTCACGTTTGAAGCACATCTAAGAATCGAATAATAATTAACTTATACAAGGCAGCAATTATTTAACTGATTGATACAATTCTCTTACAGAATAATTCGATAATGCAAATATTTCTATGAATATTTGAGAAATATAGCAGTTCTTATAATTTAAAAGCCGTTGTAATTAAATGATAATTTTATCTTATGGATATATCTAAAGTGTATAAATAATATTTAGTTTACATAGTTTAATGTGATTTCAAAAACTACGCATGTGGGTGAATATTTATGATCGTACGGAACAACAATTGTCTGTATTTGCAGTGAATCAATTTCCATCACTTCTACTCGAATAATATTTGCATAGTAGTTTTAGAAAATTCACGAATCCCGAATAATTAATATTTAATATTTGAGGAGAGAGAATTTTCAATTTGCAGTTTATTTTATGAGCGAAATGTTTCAAAATTTTATCAGAGTAAATAAAACAAACAAACAAGATTATTTTTAATTACTATTGTCAAAGTTAATTTTAATCTTCTCGTTAGCCTTTCAACCGTAGATACATGTATTTCATATATTTCATATGTTATACATTTTGATGTACTATACAATTGCAGATTGGCAAATTTATCATAAACATAATAAATCAACAAATTGACTAATTTATTATAAACTAAATAAGCGTTGAGAATGTTTCTTGTATATAGAAATATTTCCGTGCTTTGAGATACAACTCATATAACATGTCAAACATTTCGCAAAGCAAGACTCGTTTAAAGTGGAACAGAGTACGAGCCATGCGAAGTGTATGAAAGCTATCATTCGTTGGAAAGTGGTAATGACGAAAGACAGTTAACCGCGACGACGGAAGTCACGAACTGTCTCTGTGAGAAATGCTCCACATCCTCGCTTTGCGTACTTAGTGCAGAAATTGCCTACGTTCTCTCCCATTTCTCTCTTTCTCTCTCTATATATTTCTCTCGACAAATATCATGGCTCTACGTTCTATAATTACAAATGTCAAGATAAATCTCAAGGCTCGAGATAATCATCGATTTCACAGGAATCGCATGCTTCCGGTTTGTCGATAAAAGTGAGAATTAGAGATAGTGATCTCGTGCAGAAAACTCATTAACTCTTTCATTCCATTACAAGAGAACGTGCACATGAAGAACATAGATTCGATCACATGCGTAAGAAACGCATATCGATTCCTATATCTCATCTTCGAAAGATATCTCAACGAACGAATTTTTTTATGCATGAAAATAAAGCGATGTGTCTTGAAAAAATTATGGTGATTAGTTAAAATTAAAAATTCACATGTTTATCTCAATTTCTACTATTTTTATTTCCAATATATATTTGATGTAATTAAAAAAAGAAAATATATTATTTTATGGAATACACAAGATTTACAATATCAATATTTCCTAGAACTATTTTATGATAAAAAGATGGGAATTGAAAAAAAAAATTACTTTTAAAAATTTACGTAATGTACTTTTATATAAAAATAAAATCCTATTACATAAAGATATTTTAACTATATACTTTTTGACATGTTCAGAAATCGTATTATCATCAATTATTAATTGAAATTTGAATAAAGTAAGAGACATACATAAAAAAAAAACTTCTTTTGTCGAAAAATATGTTGAAATATTAAATTACGAAGCAGCTTTATTCTGCAAAACAAATACACACACATACATTCTCTTTATCTCTTTCTCTCTGTCTTATTGTTGATGCATCAATAATATGTGTAATCTCATGACGACGACACGTCAACAGACAGACCATGTACTATTCCCGATGAACGCGTATCCAATTTACAGTAGCAACGGATAAACAAGCGCGCAATAAATTATTTTCAATATCTGCATGTTCCCCTATTATTCCCATTTTGCTGTAATAGAGAACCTTGTACGCACAGGGACCGATGTCCCTTTGGTATGACCCCAACGACGCAGCGCGATACGACGTATCGATTAAAAAAGCAGCATCATTGGTGTTAATGGAAGTGACACGCAACTGCGATATTACTGCAATATGTAATTGTAAAATGTAATCATGTTACAAGATTTCTGAAAAACCATCGATAGAAACGTGATACAAAAATATATATTATTAATTACAAATAATATACTCTCCATTAACAAAATTATATTATATTAAATAAATGAAATGATGAATAAATGATTTGATAAAGAATTAAGCTCTTTATGTATTTAACAACACGATACTCAAGAAACGAGCGATTAAAAGCCATTATGGACATCTCATGGGAGGGTTTATAGAATTCTCAAAAATAAAAATCTATCTTATATGGTAAATACACCAAGTAAAATATATGTATATGCCTTGTGCACGTTTAAATTTTCGCAAACAATTAATCTTTGAGAAATATTTACACACTACCATCCGCGGTGGCTCTTAATCGCTCGTTTCTTAAGTATCGTGTTGTTATATATTATATTATAAATATTTCACGACTCATGAGATTCCGCGAATGTAAAAATTTGAGAAATATTTACTTTAAATAATAATTATCAATTTTTTAAAAAATCTATTATATTAGATATCATTATATCATATAATTTCGATCCTTACAAACTTTAAATGATGGGTCTTTCATTAGCGAACAATCGAACGCAATGCGAGTTAAGTTTCGTCGATCGAGTATCGATTACCACGAATAGCTATAGCAAGGAAATCGAGGAAGAAAGGAGAAAAAAACATTGCCTGTTTAACCTCGCTTTCTGCTTCCGCGAGCAAGGCAAACACGTTCAGGATCTCTCTCATGTGAGCTTCACAAACGTGCTACACATCAATTCCACGTCGAAACGCGAGCCACGTTCGTCGCAACTTCATTTTCAGACAAGTAGTACGGGATACTTTATCGCCGGCTATTGTGTACTTTCAATCTTGAATTCATATTTTGAGCCGGCTTTCAAAGGCACAAGTAGACGCTATTAACTTTTTGATAAAAAACTTTTGTCAAAGGTATATGTATATTATCCTTATAATAAATTTACAGAAAACTTTAAGACGTATAATTACATACATTTATGCATTTAACAAAAAAATTATTCCATAAGTTCAGGAGAAAGCTTGGCATATAGTTATATAACTTTTTATATAACTAAAGTTATATATATAACTAATCTCTCTTTAAATAATTACTACAGATTTTTAAGTACATTTTTTTAAAGTTAAATAATTAGAAAAATTAATTTATAATATTATAAATTGTATCAATCAATAAGTAATTTAGTATTATATTCAATATTATATTATTGAATTTAATGATTATATTTATATGCAGTCATGTCATCTCAAGATCGAGCGAAACGTGCGACCCATGCTAATTAGTCAAATCGATTCCCAACCGATGAGCCTTATTAAACTATAATAGATTAATTTGATTGTGTTTAACAAAAATGACATCACTCAAATCTCATTAATTGTCCGTTCGTGTTATTTTAACAATTAAAACATAATAAGTTCTTAATCAAACGACAATCTTCATCATGTAGTCTGAACTATATTCCAATAAATTTGTTCGTTTCGAATGTATCTCATTGACGTTTAACAATTTATCGAAGTTCCTTGATTGTCAAATTTAATGAACAAATAATGAATCAATAGTGAATTTATACTTAATTCCCTTAACGACAGAGAAATTCGCCAATAAATGCCTCTGTTTTAATGTAGAGTCTCGGCATCGATTGGTTCATGACATTCATGAGCTATGAATGGATACTTCAGGTGTGATTTCTCAAGATAATTGTATCTGTATATACTTTTTTATATTTAAAAAAAAAACGTTTAAAATACTTTCATATAAAATCATAACATTTTTCTTACATCGTTATCACATATTAATATGTGTAGACACATATTAATATGTGATAAACGTTGTAAGAAAAATATTCTAAAGCTTATTTTTTGGATTAATAATTAAATTGTATAAAAAACTTGATTACTAATTTTATAAAATATATTTAGAGAAATATATTTAGAGATATTTAATTCTTATTTTGAAAAATTCCATATTTATCTTCTTTAGATTAACCTAAAGCTATTATGCATTATTTTCCTAGCAAGACTCATTCGATGTTATCATTGTCCGCAGCCTAATTAAAAAACCGCTTTCAATCAAGCATACGAAAATTGAATACTTGATTGAACTTTGCTGTTGAATGCGAATGAGTCTCAAAAGAACGGCATCTCGATTGATCCCTTTTGGGGTTTCTGGCTGAACGGCTTTACTTACCCTTTATCAGTCGCCAAAGGTCGAATGCCCGCACAGCTGTGACGTCGGCGGGAAACGTCGCACAGATCGGAGGTCAGCTGAAACAAGCGGAGTAGACGTGGCTTGCACCACTTGGTGCTGGCAGCGGCAAAAGAGCTACGAGATGAATACTATTCACCACCGAGCACGACCACCTCGCTGTTCGAGGGTGCGCGGACGACTGAGGTCCGCCTCGATCGTCGCCGTGGGTGTAGCTGTGCAGTGGTAGCTAGCTCTCCCACCCTGGCCTTTTTCCTCTCTCACCCTTCGCGGGAAAGCGCACCCTCTCTTTTATCTGCGAAGCTCTGTCTCGGTCCTCTTCTCTCCTTCCGTTTCTCTCTTTTTTTCTTTCAATCCCGAGTTCTCCCTTAACTTCTCGAACTTTTTTATCCTTCTCGCACTCGCCGAAGCGCGTTCTTCGTTCATCCGACTCAGCCTGCCTTTCACGTAGTTTCTCCCTTATTTTCCATCTCACTTGACCCTTCGTTCTTCAGCTATCTTCGTCGCTCTGACGTCGATCTGCTTCCCTATTTCCTTCTATGCATTCCTCCCTTTTGCATTTCGAACTAATGTATTCTTTCTCCAATGCAGTCTTTTCTCTCCTATTATTTTTCTTCGCCCTTCATCTATGAACGAACCGATACTTTCCCTGTTCTCGCGATCAACTGTGTCTCAGTCGTCTCATTCATTCTGTTTCACTTATATGATTCTGTAGTCTCGTTGTCTCTCTCTTCTCTCTCTTCGATTCGTATCGTGTTACTCCCTCCATTTAGGTCTTTGTTCGATCTGTCTCTACTTACTGCATTATTCCTTCTCTCTTGCATTCACGCGTACTATCTTGGAAAATTTTGCACTCTCCGGCAGCTCTGTACAGCAAGAAACAAATGCTGGATTCGATTCTCCGATCCAGTCCGTCCTACAGGGGAGAGAGAAGGGTTAACTTCGACAGAGGCGAGCAAGTGAGTGGTGGTAGCCTGGTCAGCGGAAACGACAAAGACAAACGATGACAGCACTATCGTCGAGAAGAGAGAAGGACGGAAGAAAGACGAACGATGCATCCGAGCATAGGTCATCGTAGATGGAAAGGGGCCCCGATTTATTGACTCCCGGGGACTTATCGTAAAACTACTTGCAATTTCGACTGAAAATGTATTTTCCACAGACAGTACATGTTTTTGAGCAATCATGAATCTCTTTCAAAGAGAACACATTTATATATGTTTTATATATGTTTACCTTCAAAATGTAATTTAACAACAGTAAAACAACTAAATAAAATAATTTGTATAATGTGCATAAATTTTGTACTTTATATCATATATTATATTATTATTTGCGAAATAAAAAATAAAAATTGAAAGAGACAAAAAAGATTAAAGTAAAATTGCAAATGTTTCATAAATATTTTTATATCGTAAAGCATATCTTCATAAAATTTAAAGAAATAATTATGAAGAATTTACAGTGATAAAATTATCATAAATACAATATTTTGTATAATTACTATATAAAAAAGTTAGTTTTTTAAACTTGTAAATATAATATACAAATTAAACTAATTCTTTCAATAAGATAAGATCGATCACTGGCTGTTAAACGAAAAATCGAATTATTTAGAGAAAATCGTCCGATAAGTTAGGAATTAAATTATTTTAACGTAGATAGTCTTTCACAAAGAGATCTGCTTTAATATCATATGTTGGCAAGATTCAACGATATATACACGTAAAACAGAGATTTCCAAAAGATTCATATCGCTTAGCGTGTAACAAAATTTATCGTTAGTTTTCAAAATAGAACGAATGTGTACTATGTAAAACAAACATCAAAAGCCTGTTCCAAAAATCGATTAATGACAAGAATTATCTTTCTCCTTTCCCTTTTCAATTTTTAAGACTTATAAAAGTAACAATTCCTTGTAAGTAAATTTTTTGTGACATTTAACACATTTTATACACTCTAATATTCAAAATTATTAGGACATTTTTAATATCACATAATTAAAATATTTTGTCTATTCCATCTTTTCTTCTATCCTTTTTTTCTTTTCTTGCAACTATACATTAAACTAAATCAAGTATCAAAGCAAACATAATTAGCTTGATTCTAAGTTCCATTTTAACACTTCGTACTTTCATGTTGCTTGCAACGCGATTCAATCACATGCGAAAAGCTGGAATTGATAATTTCTCATCAGACTAACTTAAATCATTCGTATAGGAATGAGAAATGTGGCGCTCCGGCGACGCCGTGTCTATAACATGAACATCTACGCAGACAGCTTTCAATTTGCTACAAAATAATTTACACTTTCCAGTACAGCGATTCTGCTGGGAAATTTATTGTGAATATGCATGCAGTACTTATGAATATGAATATGAGAAAATTATTATGCCAACGACGAGATGAAGAAAGTTTGCATGCAGAAAAGCTCCTTCCCCTTCTCTCTCTTCCTCTCTCTTTCTCTCTTTCTCACTTTTCCTTCTTATTTATCTTCCTTTCCTCTCGAGTTCACTCATAATTTTTTGAAATCTTCAAGAAGACAGGACTTTATGCGAATGAATGGAAAAGTAGCACATCTCATGATCGATGATAGAAATTTGCGCAAACAAATCACATTTAAGAAGCATGATGCAGGATTACATATGACATTGCAAGAAACTATATTTCAGTACACAGAATGTCTGTAATGCTTCTTGCTAGTAAGTCACAACAACTATATTACTCGTGATTTAACGCAATGGTTAGGAAATGTCTACGATGTACGTTAAAATAAACTTTAAGCTATTTATCTAGGAAACGTGAAAGTCAGAAATCAACGATATAAATAATCTGATGTCAAGAAATAAGGCTCATACACAATTCAACATTATGAAGTAATCATCTAAGCTAACAATTATTTTGTTTGTTGTATGCTGTATATAAGAAAATTAATTTTTTTAAACATCAATTTACATATAAAAAATATTATAAAACATATAGTTCGCATAAATAAATAAATATTTTCTTCATATATGAAGATTGCTCTATATTTGAAAATATAATATTACAATTTCCATTGCAACCACGTTTTTAAAAGAAATGATTCGTAAAATATCCGTATAGATATAAGACGAGGGCAAAGCTATTGGATAAACATTGCAGGAAAACAAGAATGGCGCCACAAAGTCGCACGTTTCTGGCGCCATACGCTATGTATATATAGCAAATGCGAATAGCTTTTGTATTTTCATGTCAACAGATTAAAGTACATAAAAAATTTAGTTGCACTCTAAATTATATAATGCAAATTTTGCAAATTAAGTTTGCTTTATTAAAAATAAAAATATATATATATATACATTATATATATTTAGAAATACTTTTAATACAGCAATTTAATTTACAAAACTTGCTTTATATGATTTAGAGGGTAGCTGAATTTCTTATGAACTTTTATTTATTAACATGAAGATATGAAAAAAATGATATATACACAGAAAAAAAATAAGTGTCAAAACTTATATACTTAAACTAATGCGTTCATTGCTTCGTATATACGCAACAATTTATAATCTTCTTAGAAGAATTTAATAAGTTTAAATTTTAATAATATTATAGTCTTATTTAAATATTGTAATTGTCATCTTAAGAATATATAATTATTTAATTCTACTTAAAAAAAATTATAATCTTTGCTTTAAAAATGTTATTTTCTATCTAACTTTGTTTCTTTTCCATTCAAGAAAGTTAAATCTTAAATCATAAGAATACATTTTTATTGATTAAACTATATAAAATGGCTTCATTCAAGTAAGTAATTATTCAAGCAATTATATTTTTCTTTAATTAACGCAATATATAATCTCATTTCAAGATTTCCATGTTAAAATTAAATATATTTTCAAAACAAGAATGTCCTTTTTTTCGGTGTATATATGTATAAACGTATAAAACGTAGATTAATGACAATTAAATTTATTAAATAGATATAGTGACATTTAAACGGAATGTATAAAAAGAACAAGATAAACGAACGTATTTAAACAACCTACCTATGCATTTAAAAATAGTTCGAGCTGTCATTCGCCCATTCCTATCACTAGCAGTATGTCAGCGACTTCGTAATTTATTCATCCTTTCACCCTCCTTTCCTGATCTACCCTATGACGTCAGAGTGACCCTTAAAACCCATCTCGGCATTCACGACTACATTGCAACAGTCGGTCGACACGATCCAACTTTTTCCTGGCAAACAAACGACACGGAAGAGAATTTAATATGAACCGACAGTAGATCTCCGTTCGTTTCGCGAATACTATAAATTCGTAAAAGAAATCGGACATGTTTGAACTCGCAGAATAATACATTGTCTTCACGTATGTATCCAATGCTACTATGAAAATTTTTGTCCCAAATCAAAATTTTGCTCCTTCAATTTTCAATCTCTATTTTTTCACATTTATAAATTCCGGAGTATTTTAATAGATCTTATTTATATAAGAATTGTATGATATTAGATTTTTAATTTGTATCTCAACTAGACAATAATCTACTCATTATTGTCTAGTTGAGATACTATATATCTAAAGTTTAGAAATTTAAAAGAAAATTTTAGCAATAATTTAGAATTTAAGTAATTTCAAAATAGAGTGATTTAGTTACTTAAAGAGTGATTTAGTTACTTAAAGTGTCAAAATAGATATTAGATTGAATATTGAAGTAAAAAATAAAAGTAAAATTTTGTGTAACTCGTGATATAACAATATTATAGATTATAAGCATATAGCCAATATGGCATTTTATTTGCTATTTTAATTGATGATATATATTACTTAATAATAAACAATATTTTATCATATTTGTGATAATATTGTTGTTATATATATTCTATATTTGTATATCAAAAATTAATCATACATGCATATATGAAAGAGTGCATGATTTAAAAATATCATAATTTTTTTAAATGTACCAGCAATATATTTGGCCAAATATGTAAAAAATAAAACAACTGGATAAATAAGCAAAATAAAAAGGCTCCCTAGGGGAGGAATATACACGTTGATACGTTTCACAAGCTCGTCAGTCGTGTGCAAGTTTAAAAATGAGACAAAATCTCGTTCACGTTCAAATTTATTTTAATTAAGTTTTCAACATAGAAGAGAGCCGCCAATTTACGCTCTAATTATATTTACCGAATCAATTTTCCTCTCCACCCACGTGGCTTTGTGCCATGTTGGCTATATGCCGACAGTCGTCGTTACGATATTAAGCCAGATATGTACTGAGCATACCAATCAACGGTTCACTCATTCAGCGACATTAATTCATCTACAATTAGAGCAAAATGTGACGGCTGACAACAACTATGTCAGTTTTAGTCTGCATTTGATAAAAGCGAAAAGTTAAACAATAAAACGTGATCAAACTGCATTGTATACAAATTAAATTGATAAAATATTTCACTGCATTCTTACTCATGTCAAAATTTATAAAACTACTTAATAGTTTATGAACACACATATGATATATATCAATTCGATATATAATAATATTTTCATATGATATATGATAAATGAATGAGAATATTATTATATATCAATTCAATATATATAAATGTGACGGCTGACAACGACTACGTCAGTTTTAGTCTGCATTTGATAAAAGCGAAAAGTTAAACAATAAAACGTGATCAAACTGCATTGTATACATTAAATTGATAAAATATTTCACTGCATTCTTACTCATGTCAAAATTTATAAAACTACTTAATAGTTTATGAACACACATATGATATATATCAATTCGATATATAATAATATTTT